TTACAAATAAAGTCCCTTTAAGTACATTCCTGAATTCCTATTCCAAAATAAATTCTCCTGTCAAGGACACTTCGTGAACGTGTTCCGCTTACCAAATTTATACGTCAATAGTAAATAAACAAAAAAAAAAGGAAAACAAACCAACGAAATAGAATACATCCGTAAAATAAGAAATTTACGTAAATTGTCTCAATACCCTGTTGGGCAACAACAGCCAGCAACAGCAGCAGTTTCCGTTTTCTGTTTTCCGTCGTCATTTTCAAATTTATTTCACAACAACAAAAAAGCCTGCCTAGTTGTTTCCGTAACCAAAGCAATCATTTGCAAATGATACGATTGTTATATTATCCACAAGTATATGTTATTGTTGTGTTGTGTTGTTCTTTGTTTTTTTCCTTTTGCCAAACAAACAATCAGCCAGTCAGTCAGTGTCTTATCTTCTATCGCTTCGTAGAATGAAATGTGTTAACATGCCATTAGTAATTCTGGCTGTGATGTTGTGAAAGAGATAATATTACCAAAATCGATTGACGTAGATACAGCAATGATGGCTGCATAAAATGGTATCTCCAGGTTTGTCTTTTTTCCATAAGGAAGGGGAATAAACAACGCAATTTTGTTGCTATTATGGACATTCGATATGTTTCGGAATATCAATAATAAATTTTGGAATTCTTTTCGAGCTTATTGAATAAATAATAATAATACGATTTGAACACCTGAACATCATTTAAGGGAAATTTATATGATTTTGTTTTTTTATGGATTCAATATTCCCGAAACGTAGCACAAAATTACGTTTTATTTTATTAGAATCCTTAAAACAAATACTGATGATGTATTGAACAAGTTACGTCTTTCAAAATCATCTATACATAAATTCATACAAAGACCGTTAGAAATGTCGGTAGAACCGAAAGTGTCTCCTAAGGAGTTACATCATAAAATTAACGATTGGAAAAGTACGGCATATATTTTAAAATCTATTTAAATCTGTGTTTCAAACCCATGCCCAAATTTTGAATATTTTAGCGCATTTAATAAAAAGCGCATGCTACTTCAAAGCCCGGAAACAGAATCTTTTGTTGGCAACGGTTTCAGCACATAGTGGTAAGGGTATTATGTCTTTGTGCATTTGTTTGTAACATGGAGAAGGAAGTGAGATAGACCCATAGTTACTTTTGAGGAGTTTCATAGAATCATCTTCTGGGCCGATTTATGCATGTCAGTCCGTCTGTACATGTATTTTTGCGAACAAAATATAGGTGGCATTTATTATCCGATTGAATGATATTTTGCAAGCAACATTTGTATGGCCCAAGGACGAACCCAATTGGAACTGATGAGTATCGGTTCAAATTTAGATATAGCTCCCATATATATTTTCAACCGATTTCGGCCAATATCACCTAATGGCCAATATCAGTCCAAATTACCTGAATTTTTCAATCTAGAAGCAAGTACATTAAATTTGGTGAAAATCGGTTCAGATATAGCTGTAGCTCCCATATATATGTTTCGTCAGATTTGGTCTTTAAACCCTCACTTTCGTAATATGCACTTCACAACAATGATCTTAGGTACTTGAAATTTTAGCGAAAATCGGTTCAGATATATCTATAAGGATGCTATCCGATTTGGTGTTAAAGTTTTTAATTTTTAAATTTGGTGAAACTAGGTCCTTATCGAAGTCAGCAATATTAATTGGTACTAGAGGTACAAACGCCTCTTTAAATTTGTTGAAAATCGTTTCAGAAATGGATATAGTTCCCAAATTGTGACTACTCTAAAGCCATTAAAATAAGGTTCACAGTTGGTAGTTCAATATAAACATTTTTTTTATTCAAATACGCGTACTGGTGTAGGGTATCATATAGTCTGAACCACCCTTTTGACCTTTCCTTACTGGTTTTTCATTTTAACAAGTTAAAAAGGATCAATTGGTTCTGCCGACAGAACAGACCCCAAGCCAATGTACGATTATTTGAATATATTTTGACTTCTGTTACGATTATTAAAACTGTTGACCCTCTGCAATTTGAAGAAAGTTGGATGCTTATTTCGCTAGGATTAGTGCTTCTCTTTCTACGAAGAAAATATATTTTTTTTTAAATTTCGAGCTTTTGTGGGGAAGGTACCAGAAGGAGTGATCGATATTTTCCATCTTAACACCAGACCTTGGGTTAATAAAATTGTTGGGATGTGTGAAATCTGAATACAATCGAACACTTACATCACATTTTATAAGAGTTGTAATTATCAAAATTTTGACCTTTTATGGGGAGGTACCTGATGGAGTGGACCGAAAGTTCGAGAAAAATCGCATTATCCTTAATCTTTACCAGAAGGAATGGACCCATATTGCCCATCTCCGAACTCGAGTTATCGTGCGCACCAGCCAGACAGACAGACAGACGGACGGACATTGCTATATCGACTCCAAATGTTCTGAAACGGATTTGGTCCAAAGAGACTTAGGGTCTAAAACCGTTATTTCGACTAGGCACGTTTTGACCATATGGCTGAGGGTATAAAAATCAGGAAAATTTTCCGTCTTTGCTCCATTTAGCACTCTGACGGACAGACAGACGCATAACCGGATCAACTCAGTTCGACGAAAATAAGTTATTAAAATTTTGAATCCTGGGCTAATATTTGAGGTTTTACAAACTTTTTGGCCAATGAAACTAGGATTTTAAAAGGAAGTTTTGGTGGATCCTTGGACGTAAAGGGAATTTTTGATGGATCCTCAAAAGTCTTTGAACGTGGATTTTAAACGGAATTTTCAGAATACTCTGAGGTGTCTATAGAAGTGGATTTTCTAAAGAATTTTCGGTGTATCTTTGAAAGTCTTTAAATGTGGATTTTTAAATTAGTTTTCAATGGATCCTCAAAGTTCTTTGAACATGGATTTTTAACAAATTTTTTTCTGGATCCTTAGGAATTTTTAAACAAAGATTTTGGAAGATACTTACAGGCCTATAGACGTGAATATTTAAAATAATATACTCTGGATTTATAAACGTGGCTTTTAAAAGGAATTTTCGCTGGATATTAAGAGGTCTGTGAACGTGAATTCTCTAATGAATTTTTTTTGATCCTTAGAGGTCAAAATTGGTTCAGTTTTGGATATAGCTACCATATGTATCTTTATCTGATTTTAGGTTTATTGTGCACCAAATGGCTTATATCAGCCCAAATTAACTGAAGCTTGGCTTTTCCAAATGAATTCAGTATAGAAGCAAGTACAATAAACTTGGCGAAAATCGGTTCAGATGTAGCTATAGCTTCATCTGATTTGGGATTTTAAGTCCCTCACATGCGTAATATGAACTCCACAACAATAAAGTTTGGTACCAGATATCAAATATAACTCAGAAATAAGTGCCTAAGATTTTGTCAAGATTGGTTTAGATTTGAATATAGTTCCCTTATAAAACTTTATACAATTTCACGTTTATTGTTCACCAAATTTCTATAATCAGCTCAAATAAACTGAATTTTGGAACTTCCGATGGAATTCAGCTCAGAAACAAGTACTTCTACACTTTGGTGATGTTTATGAACTAGCATCATTACTGGACCATTCTACGGCCCAGCGTAAGACTAGATCAACTTCATGACTATTTTGATTGTGCGATTTAACACCTATAGTAACTTTTTTGGGCCATGTTAAAATTCATTTCTATACAGACGTGCTCGCTTCCATTGAAGCATTTATACAACAGAAAGCCAAGGGTATTTTATATATAATGGCCTCTGCAGGGTCTTTATATACAGGACCTTTTACATACTGAAGCCTCTCGAGGGTTTTTTATACCCTCCACCATAGTATGGAGGGTATATTAAGTTTGTCATTCCATTTGTAACACCTCCAAGTATACATTGTAGACCCCACAAAGTATATACATTCTTGATCAACATAAAAATCCATGTCGATTTATCAATGTCCGTCCGTCTATCCATCTGTCCGTCAGTGGAAATTACTCTAGCTTCCGAAAGAAATGAAGTAGGTTGATAAAATTTTACTCAAATGTGTATTGTGTCTGCAGGACTTTTGGTATTGAAAATGGGCCAAGTAGGTCCACGCCTTCGTATAGCCCCCATATAACGGTACCTCCCGATATTCGGTATTTTAATGATTTTAGCGACATTATTTACCGGAATTGTTTCAAATTTGGTATTTGAAATTTGTAATAGATACTACAGCATAGAACTTAAAATGAGCCATGTAGGTCCAAGTCTTCGTATAGCCTCCATATAACGGTCCCCCTGATATTCTGTATTTTGATGATTTTAGCGACATTATTTACCGGAATTATTTCAATTTTGGAATTTGAAGTTCGTAATGACCGGAATTGTTTTAAATTTCGCATTTGAAGTTCGTAATGGGCACTACAGCCTATGAGGCTTTTTTACTTGTTATTTATTAATGGTTTCTTTTAGAAATGGACTTTTCTGGGAAGAAGATATAGAAATGATTACATTTCTCGAAATCTTGTTGTGTGCTTCTTTAATATAGAACGATTTTTGGAGTACGATTTCTATGTAGACATTTCTAAATAGTCGTCTATATATGAATATGTTTCGGATGTCATGATTTTTACAATGTTTGATTTTAGTGTTTATATGTTTTATACAAGTCTGAAAGATAATCCAAAATACATATTTTTCAAATCCTAAATTCGAAATATTGGACACATATATCATTGTTATTTTCCTTGGTATTATTTACGTAAAACATTTTTCCTGAATTGTTATTTAAAAATCCGATGTTTAGGACTGAAATTAGTTTTGGCAGCTTGCTTTTCTTAATAAATCATTTAATTAACTGGTAATAAAAATCGATTTTTTACATGTTCCACATTTTTCATTTCCTTCTTCTTGCAACCTTCTGACCTTCATTTACAAACATCTATCCATCCATCCTTTTTTAGAAATTGAAAATCAAATTAACCTTAGCTACCTTTCTATTTTCTGTGTCCTGTTTTTCCTTCCAGAATTCACGATATGTAGTAGCTCGTCCGTGCTGGAACAAAAACTAAAAACAATTACTGTGGCCAACACTGGCAGTGGTAACAGCAGTAGCAACGGTCATCATCTACCCGCAGAGACAACAAATAAATCTTACAAAATCACTGACAGTTTGCCAAACTTACCTGTCAATCTGACGGCGGCGACGGCAATGACGACGACGACGACAACACGGACAGTTGCAACAACATTGTCTCAAGTACCATCAATTCAGACATTATCGTCATCATCATCAGCAGCAGCAGGAGAAACAGAAAACTCAGCAGTTGCATCAGCAGCAGAACCAATGCCAATGTCCGCCACATCAATATCCACTTCAATGAAGAGAAAATCATCGTTAAAGACCTTAGAAACAGCAGCACTCAGTGAGCCATTACCATCGCCATCTGCAATATCTTCGCCATCGTCCCCAGCATCAGCACCCGAATCACTGATGGCAATTGAAACAGCTGAAAAATCACCATTTTCATCATTCTCTTTAACGGCAACCACACAAATACTGAATGAGCCACTTACACTGGACGACGATTTCAATGCCTCCAGTGAGTTATTAACGGGCCCGACATCAATCTTGAACACTCACGATTCGAGTGATTTACCACCACTCAGCGAAGCCGAACAGGCGGCCAAGGATTTATTAACGAAGGGATTTTCAATTCCCACCTATCTGCCGCCGTTCCCCGTCTTTGCCGTTGCCGATTTGCCAGCATATTTAAATACGGTATCGAGCACAACGACCGAGGCGCCACCATCAAATCACCACATGTCACCAGACGATATGAGTTCGCTGGAGAATCTTTTATTTTTCGATAATGGCGACGACCAGCAACAGAATCGTCGTCGACTGCAACAGCATCGAAAGCTGCAAATACCCAGGAGAAATTCTAGTTTTGTTGGTGCTAACAACGTTACAGTGCAGGAGGGCAGTCACGCTTATTTGCCATGTCGTGTAAGTATTCTACTTGTGTTTGTACTTTATTGCCAGGATAGGAGATAAAAAGGGGCGATATGAGATGGGGAGGGAAGGGAAATGTACTTTAAGCTTGTGTAAAGATGTAGACATTCCTTTAATATCCGTACTGATGCTTGAACTGTTTTAGGTCAAAGTGATACTTATTTGTTTTACGGAGAATCAACTACACTTGGCTATAATCAGACAGGGGGAGGGAAGAAATGCAATTTTGAAAAAATACAATTTGATATTAGACTAAAAAAGAGATAATTTCCGAGTTCTTAAATATCTAATGAATCAAACGTAAATCACCCCAGCATATGATTGTATGTTCAAATATAGTTTTGACCTGTATAAGACCGTTCCGAATTTATTTCTTCTAAAGATGAACATATGAAAATTTTTATTTTTACCGCATTCCTTAAGGTTATGGAATCCTTGGATGGTATGAATGCGAATTTTAAAAAAAATTGTCACTGTATCCTGATATATAAACTTGAAATTTTAAAAGAAGAGGACTACAAATCTGGATTAAAATATTACTGGATCCCTTGAGGTGCAAACACGTTTTTTTTTTTTTTTTTTTGAAAAATTTCACAACATCCTTGGAGGTCTATGGAAGTGGATTTTAATACCTTGATTTTTAAAGAAACTTCTCTTTATCCTTAGAGGTCCACAAACGTGGATTTTTAAAGAATTTTCGAGGATCCTCAAAAGTCTTTAAACGTGGATTTTTTTTAAAGAAATTTCACGAATCCGTAAAGGTCTATAAACGTGGATTTTTTTTAAGAATTTGCGAGTATCCTCAAAAGTCTTTAAACGTGGATTTTTTTTCAAAGAAATTTCACGAATCCGTAAAGGTCTATAAACGTGGATTTTTTTAAGAATTTGCGAGGATCCTCAAAAGTCTTTAAACGTGGATTTTTTTTCAAAGAAATTTCACGAATCCGTAAAGGTCTATAAACGTGGATTTTTTTTCAAAGAAATTTCACGAATCCGTAAAGGTCTATAAACGTGGATTTTTTTTAAGAATTTGCGAGGATCCTCAAAAGTCTTTAAACGTGGATTTTTTAAAGAAACTTTACGGATCCGTAAAGGTTTATAAACTTGGATTTTTTAAAGAATTTGCGAGGATCCTCAAAAGTCTTTAAACGTGGATTTTTTTAAAAAACTTGCGAGGATCCTCAAAGTCTTTAAACGTGAAGTTTTTTTAAAGAAATTTTACGGATCCGTAAAGGTTTATAAACGTGGATTTTTTAAAGAAATTTTACGGATCAGTAAAGGTTTATAAACGTGGATTTTTGAAAGAATTTTCTCTGGATCCTTTGAGGTCTATAATCATGGATTTTTGAAAGAATTTTCTTTGGATCCTTTGAGGTCTATAAACGTGAATGATCCATAAACGTATATTTTTGAAAGAATTCTCACTGGATCCTTGGAGACCTTGAAACATGGATTTTTCAAGGAAATTTAACTGGATCCGTGGAGACCTAATAATATAGATTTTTCAAGCAAATTTAACTGGATCCGCGGAGACCTAATAACATGGATGTTTTTAACGAAATTTAATTGGATCCTTGGAGGTCTTTAGATGTGGATTTTTAAGGAAATTTAACTGGATCCTTAATGGTCAAAAAATAATTTTCAATGGATCCCTAAAGTCAATAAACATGAATTCCTAAAAGAATTTTCAATGGATCCTTAAAGGTCAATAAACATGAATTCCTAAAAGAATTTTCAATGGATCCTAAAATATATATAAACGGAGATATTTAGGAGAATTTTCATTGGATCCTTAGAGGCCCATAGAAGTGGATTTAAAAAAATGTTACTGGACATTTATAGAAACTCTGATTTTTTAAAGAATCTTCACCGGTACCTTAGAGGTGTATGGACGTAGGTATTTATAGAATTTTCTCGTGGACGTGGAATTTTCTATGGATCCTTAGTGGTCTATAGACATGGATTCTTAAACGAATTTTCAATGGACCCTTAGAGTTCCATATATTGACGTGGATTTTGAAAAATGTTTAATTGGATCATTATAGGTCTGTAAACGTGCATTTAAAAAAATATCTGGATACTTAGCGGTCTATAAACCAGAATTAGTGGTCCGAAATATCCCATCTCAACATCAGATCTTGCGCTGATGGACAGACGGACATGCAAAAATCGACCCAGAATATGATTCTACTCAGATCATCAAAAGGAACTACGAGTCTATCGCGTTTCCTTTTGTGTGTTACAAACAAAGACATAATACCCTGAGCACCTTGTGGTGTAGGGTATAAAAAATAAATAAATAATAATAATAATAATAATAATAATAATAATAATAATAATAATAATAATAATAATAATAATAATAATAACAATAATAATAATAATAATAATAATAATAATAATAATAATAATAATAATAATAATAATAATAATAATAATAATAATAATAATAATAATAATAATAATAATAATAATAATAATAATAATAATAATAATAATAATAATAATAATAATAATAATAATAATAATAAAAATAGTAATAATAATAATAATAATAATAATAATAATAATAATAATAATAATAATAATAATAATAATAATAATAATAATAACAATAATAATAATAATAATAATAATAATAATAATAATAATAATAATAATAATAATAATAATAATAATAATAATAATAATAATAATAATAATAACAATAATAATAATAATAGTAGTAGTAGTAGTAAAAATAATACTGATATCTCATATACATCTTACTTACTTTTGAATTGAAGACACGTTATGGCCAAAGATTTTTCTTTACATTATTTTTAAGAAATCCTCGATTTACCTATCCAGGAAATGTTTGAAAGCTGTTTCCAAAATCTTGGAAATCCAGAAATTTCATTAAAATATGTGGACAGGAAGTCTTTGGAATTTACGGCCAAATATATTCTTTACAAATCTTAGCATGTTATCAAATTTTGATAAAATTTACAAAAACCACATATTATTGTTTATTTTCCTCTTTTTCGTTTGTTTTTCCATTTCACGGCGAAATCACAAATTCAATTTTCAGTCAAAAAAGTTTTCTCTCTGTAAACAATAAAAATTTCAAATGGTCTTTTGTCTAAGAGCATAAAATTAAAAAATAAAAATTTTTAATTTCTTAAATCTTTTATTTATATTTCCACAATTCTAAATTGAGTAGTATTTTCAGCCTCTCATTGTTATTATATACATTAACGCGAACATATGATCCGAGGATACATCCCTAGTTGTTTCATTCGAAATATTATCACATATAAATTTAATACGTTCTAATACAAAAAGGACTTACATCTAGGATACAATGTACATGTTCACCCAGACAGAACTATGTGAGTGATGAATGATGTGATCTCATTGATGGACCTATTTGGGTGGTTGCAAAGGAAAATAAATGGCACAGTGAAGTCACCTAATATGTGACACTGAATAGTTTTTAGAAACAACCCATCAAATGTATGCACTACAAGTTGGCTTACCAACCCATTATTGTAGGAAGTATACGACACATGAAATAAATGATTTCTCTGCCAAAACGTCGTTCTAAGAAGTACTTATTTTGCGATTTTAGTGGTAAAACAATACATATTCCGTAAGGCATGGAAAGGGTTTTGTAAAAAATGGTTTGGCTTTCCCGTGTGTAAAGAATATGTTTGCTGGGTAGCCGTAATAAAAACTCGTCGAAACATATCTTTCTTTGCATTTCATGCGTCTCTAGTTTTTTCACTCCTCTTGGGTTCCACTGTCCACATATTTGCTCGTTGTATTCATCATTCTTGTCACTCTCACGTAATAAACGAATCCACTTTGTTTGATGTATCGTTAAATAGTCGAGGAGGTGTTGAAGTACTCTGTTTTTTTTTTTTTTTTTGGTCGAGAGATTTTTAGTGTGGGAGTCAGGGTGTGGGTGAGTGATATGTCCCTCGAGTGAGGACACATCAAAAGAAATCTAGAAAACGTGGTTTGTTGGAAAAATTGGCTTTTTTCGTTTTGGGAGTTGTCTAGTTTTGAGACATCGTCTATGAAAACATGAGAAAAACTAAAACGCAATAGCCGAGAATGAAAGAAGGTTTTGTTAAGAAAGAAATGAAGCTTTTTGTTGTGATTTATAGTGCTGAGTAAAAGTAATAAAAGAACGTCGTTATGGTTAGATAAACTTAAGTAGATGGTGTCATAAATTTCTTAAATTAAAAGGAATCGGATTGATAGCCGTAGGCAATGGGTGAAAGAAAAACGAAAACATTTCTAGGACTTTAATGAATGAAACGTAAAGAAAACAAGTTAGAAAGTATCAGCCGGTTTTGCCGACAGATGTATAGCCTCAGCCTATGTCAGTTAATAACATATGTTTTGACTATTTTTGAAATCAGAATCAAAGGAACATCCAAAAAATATAGATTTGATTGATAGGTTATAGATGAAGTCTTAAAATTAATATGAGTAATGCAATTAGGGCAAAAATTATTTTCCCAATTATATTGAAGTCGGTTCATATTTGAATATAGCTCCTATATACATATTTTCGTCCGATTTTACATATTTGATGCACCAAACACGACATATATGTCCGATTCCAATGAAAACAACAACGAAAATAAAAACAAGTAAAAAAGCCCTCCAACATTTGGCACAAATTTGGCAATTTTCAAAAAAATAAAATCTGTTAAAATTCTGTTAAAATCTTAAAAATACCGAATGCAGGCGTATATTAGGGTCTATACGATGTCGTGGACCTGCAAATGCAAATATTCAAATGCGAAACTTGAAAAAATCCGTTTATAATGTAGCTAAAATCATAAAAATTCCGAATATAACGTGGTACCATGGGGGTTATGAAACGTCGATCTGCACAGACAATTTTCTATCATAGGCTGTAGTATCCATTACGAACTTCAAATGCGAAATTTGAAACAATTCCGTAAATAATGTCGCTAAAATCATCAAAATACCGAATA